ACTGTTATACACCCACTCATTGCCAAGCAGTTCAACAATATACTACAGGAGGAGAAATTGAAAAGTGGCTAACAACTGGGAAAACCTACCTAATAATGAAAAATCCAGCAAAAGGGGCAACACCAGGTAACTACAGGCCAATTACCTGCTTACCAACAACTTTCAAATTACTAACTGGTGTGGTAGCTGATGCAGTACAACAGCATCTAGTTGAAAACAATCTCTTTCCACCTGAGCAGAAAGGAAACCGCCCCAATAGCAGAGGAACAAAAGATCAACTCCTAATAGACAAAATGATCTTGGAAAACTGCAAGAGAAGGAAGACCAACCTGAATGTGGCATGGATTGACTACAAAAAGGCATTTGACTCTCTGCCACATGATTGGATAATAAAGTGCCTAGAAATAACAGGAGTCAGTAGAAACATCAGAAAATTTGTGCAAAGATCGATGGCACAATGGAAGACACAGTTGCAGATCAATGGTGAGAGGCTGGGAGAGGTTAATATCAAGAGAGGAATATTTCAAGGAGATTCATTATCACCATTACTATTTGTTATTGCACTGTTTCCTCTGTCAACAATACTGAATAACTCAGGACATGGCTATCAAACATCAAAAACATCTGCTAGACTATCCCACCTCCTCTACATGGATGATCTGAAGCTGTATGGAAAAACATCATCTGAAATAGAATCGCTGCTCAACACTGTCCGTATATATAGCCAAGATATTGTAATGGAGTTTGGCTTGGACAAATGTGCCACACTTACTATCAAACAAGGAAAAATAGTGAAAACTGAAGGAATCAAGATGCCCCACGAAAATAACATTAAGAGTCTGGATGAGGAAGAGTACTACAAATACTTGGGTATCCTTCAAGCTGACAACATCAAGCACACTGAAGTCAAGAAAAAGATTAGAGGTGAATACATCAAGAGAGTGAAGAAGATCTTAAAGTCCAAACTCAATGGAGGAAATACCATAAAGGCAATCAACACCTGGGCAATCCCAGTCATTAGGTACACAGCTGGAATAGTGGACTGGACTCAAGCAGAACTAAAAGCAATGGATAGGCAGACCAGAAAAATAATGACAATGAATCATGCCCTTCATCCACGCAGTGACATTGATAGACTTTATCTACCAAGGCAAATAGGTGGGCGTGGAATGCTACAAGTACATCAGATGGTTGAAGAAGAAAAAATGGCTTTGGAAGAATATCTGAAGAACAATGATGAAGATGCACTGAAATTAGTATATCAGGAAGGTTTACTAACTACTGGAGAGACCAAACTGGCCTACAAGAAAGACCAAATGAAGAACAGAATAGAGGCATGGGAAGACAAAGCACTACATGGCCAATACATGAAAAAAATAGCTGGGAAAGCAGATAATAATAAAACCTGGCAATGGCTAAGAGCAGGAAAATTGAAGAAAGAGACCGAGGGACTAATTCTGGCTGCACAAGACCAAGCCTTAAGGACAAATGCATACAAAGTCAAAATTGAGAAGACAGCAACAGACAGTAAGTGCCGCCTATGCAAAGAAGCTGAAGAAACAGTGGACCACTTGGTAAGCTGTTGCAAGAAGATTGCACAGACTGATTACAAGCAGCGGCATGACAAAGTAGCAACAATGGTGCATTGGAAGATCTGCAAAAAATATCATTTGCCTGTAAGCAAAAACTGGTGGGATCATAAAATAGAGAAAGTCATAGAAAATGATAAAATTAAACTGCTCTGGGACTTCAGAATTCAAACAGACAAGCACCTGCAACATAACACCCCAGACTTAACAATTGTCGATAAGAAAGACAAAAAAGTCTGGATAGTGGACGTGGCAGTGCCTGGAGACAGCAGAATAGAAGAGAAAGAACTGGAGAAGATAACAAAATACAAAGACCTACAAATAGAAATAGAAAGACTGTGGCAAAAGCAAGCAAGGGTAGTACCAATAGTCATAGGCTCCTTGGGTGCAATCCCAAAACAACTGGAGCACCACTTGAACACCATTGGCATTGACAAATTCGCTATTAGTCAATTGCAAAAGGCGGCCTTACTAGGAACTGCTTCCATCCTGCGACGATATATGTAATACCATCAAACATCCACATCTGCCTATCCCAGGTCCTGGGTAAGGACTCGATAGGTAGACAAAATGCCAAATCCAGTCTGAACATCTGGCTGACTGTGCGAGGATCCATAATAATAATAATAATAAAAAGTTGGAAAGGACATTGGAGGTCATCTAGTCCAACCCCCTGCTCAGGCAGGAAACCCTATACCATTTCAGACAAATGGCTGTCCAGTCTCTTCTTAAAAACTTCCAGTGTTGGAGCATTCACCGGTTCTGGAGGCAGGTTGTTCCACTGGTTAATTGTTCTCACTGTCAGGAAGTTTCTCCTTAGTTCTAGGTTGCTTCTCTCTTTGATTAGTTTCCACCATTGCTTCTTGTCCTGCCTTCAGGTGCTTTGGAAAATAGCTTAATTCCCTCTTCTTTATGGCAGCCCCTGAGATATTGGAATACTGCTATCATGTCCCCCCTTGTCCTTCTCTTCGTTAAACTAGACATACCCAATTCTAGCAACCGTTCCTTATATGCTTTAGCCTCCAGTCCCCTAATCATCTTTGTTGCTAGCGCCACCGCTAGCGTCCTGCAGTCGCGAGTGACCCATTTGCGCATGCATGCACAGGCACCAGAACTGCCACAGTGGCTTGCGGTCCACTTACGCATGTGTGCAGCTGCTGGTGCTGCCGCTGGGTGTGCACCTGTTTGGGCACATATGCAGCGGACATTTTTCTGCTCCTCCCTTTCCCTCCAGGACAATCCGGAAAGGCTGGGGAACTCTGAACTACACTGAGTACAGCTAGTCCTTAACTTACAACTTACAATTGAGCCCAAAATGTATGTCGCTAAGCGAAACATCTGTTAAATGAGTTTTGCCCCATTTTACAACCTGTCTTGCTACGGTTGCTAAGCGAATCTGGCTTCCCCATTGACTCTGCTTCTCAGAAAGTCACAAAAGGGGATCCATCACCCAGATACACTGTAACGGTCATAAATATGAGTCAGCTGCCAAGCGTCTGAATTTTGATCACGTGGCCATGGGGATGGTGCAACCATCATGTGAAAAATGGTTTAAGTCCCTTTTCTTCCAGTGCCGTTGCAGCTTTCAATAGTCACTAAACAAACTGTTATAAGTTGAGGACTCTCTATATATAATTTTCAGGGCTCTTCTGTGAGTGCACAGAGTGCACCTTTCTGGAGCACCTTTCACAAATAGGCCCATCACTGGTTCTCATCCTACCTGACAGTTACAGGAGGAAATGCTGGTGCAATCGCTAACATTTTAGCTGATATACTGCAAAGTCTCCTGAGGGATTGAGCCCATGAAAAGGATTAAATATGGAATGGAATGGAATGGAACAGAAAATGAATAGAACAGAAAATGAACAGAACAGAATAAAATAGAACAGAAACTGAATAGAATAGAAAATGAACAGAACAGAATAAAATAGAACAGAAACTGAATAGAATAGAAAATGAACAGAACAGAAAATGAACAGAACAGAACAGAATAAAATAGAACAGAAACTGAATAGAATAGAATAGAAGCAGAAACATCAGAGTTGGATAGGACCTTGGAGGTCATCTAGTCCAACCCCCTGCTCAGGCAGGAAACCCTATACCAGTGGTTCTCAACCTTTCTAATGCCGTGACCCCATAATACAGTTCCCCATGTTGTGGTGACCCCCAACCACTTATACATCACTGGGTGCCAGGGGCGTGGCCAAAGGGGGAAAAAATGGCAGACAGCCTTGTTTGGCGACCCCCGTGAAATGGTCGTTCAACCCCAAATGGGGTCCCGACCCACAGGTTGAGAACCACTGCCCTATACCATTTCAGACAAATCATTGTCCAGTCTTTTCTTAAAAACTTCCAGTGTTGGAGCATTCACCACTTCTAGAGGCAGGTTGTTCCACTGGTTAATTGTTCTCACTGTCAGGAAGTTTCTCCTTAGTTCTAGGTTCCTTCTCTGTTTGGTTAGTTTCCACCTGTTGCTTCTTGTCCTGCCTTCAGGCGCTTTGGAAAATAGCTTGACTCCCTCTTCTTTGGGGCAGCCCCTGAGATATTGGAACACTGCTATCATGTTCCCCCCTCGTCCTCCTCCTCATTAAACTAGACATACCCAATTCCAGCAACCGTTCTCTATATGTTTTAGCCTCCAGTCCTCTGTTGTGAAGCGCTAGCAACATTCTGAATGCAGACTAATTTCGGTGTCTTGTCAGACTAACAACAGTTCTGAGAGGGGATTTAAGTTAAATATTACTGATCAGCCATTCTGAACCTCTATTTCATGTTTTTTCAGAGCCAATAATATCCTATGTCAGTATTTCTCAACCTTGACAATTTTAAGGCATGTGGACTTCAATTCCCAGAATTCCACAGCCAGCAATGCTGGCTGTGGAATTCTGGGAGTTGAAGTCCACATGCCTTAAAATTGTCAAGGTTGAGAAACACTGTCCTATGTAGATGCATCAAAAGTGGCTTTTATTTTGAAAAAGCAACTGGGCTGATTTTTTGAGGAAAAACGAGACATTTGGCTTCTCATCCTGGAAGATTCATCAGTTGTACTGGATGCTGTGGAAGATGGAAAGACAGTTACTGACAGTTGAGATTAGTTGATGGGAGGGGGAAGAGGTCTGACAGATGGGGGGGGGAGATGGAAAGATTGTGTTTCCTTTGCAGTCAACTGATCTTAACACTCTCCGAGACACCATTGTGGTTACTAATTCAACTGATGGAGCTTCCAGGATAGGAAGCGAAACGTCTCTCGTTTTTCCTCAAAACCAGTCCAGTTTTCCCTTTCAAAATAAAAACCCATCTTTGATACTACTAGGACCCGGATAACTGAGAATCTTCATAGACGTCGTACGTAGAGTATATGACAAAAATCACCTCCAGTTGATCTATCATCGTTGACCCTTTGGCTCCTACCTGAGTTGGACGTTCAGCGGCTTTTTCAACTCCATCAGAAAAAGAAGAAGAATCTATGAATGCCGACTCTCCTGTGAGATAGAAAGCGAGAAATATTTATTGATTTATGTGGAAAAATTTATATTGCCGCCTACTCGCACACGGCGACTCAAGGCGGCTTACGCGGACATAGAAACACCATTTTAAAAAAGTAAAAATAGTTAAGAAAAATAATAAAATAACAACCCCACCCCACCCCTGATGACAACACGCATTCATACTAGCCATTTAATGGGCTCCATCCCGCTCTGGGGTCCCCAGACCCGCTGGCAGAACCACGTCTTCAGCGCCTTCCGAAAAGAGTGTTTATTTATTTATTTATTTATGAGACTTATATACCGCTTTAAGTGCAAGCACTCTCTAAGCGGTGTACACCAGTAAGCAATGTATATATATATTTACATTGCCCCCAACAATCTTGGGTCCTCATTTTACCTACCCCGGAAGGATGGAAGGCTGAGTCAACCTTGAGCCGGTGAGATTTGAACCGCTGACCTGCTGAACACAGTCAGCTAAAGTGGCCTGCAGTACTGCTGCGCCACCTGTTAGAGTGGGGGGCTAGTTTAATCTCTGGGGCGATGATGTTCCAGAGAAAGGGAGCCATCACAGAGAAGGCCTTTCTTCTGAGTCCCACCAGATCAGTGGTTCTCAACCTGTGGGTCGGGACCCCATTTGGGGTCGAACGACCATTTCACGGGGGTCGCCAAACAACGCAGTCCGCCATTTTTTTCCTCCTTTTCCTTAGCTGTGCTACTCCCTTTTATTCTATTGGCTTTTGAAAGCCAATAGAATAGACTCTCTTGAATAGAGTAATTTTATTGGCTTTCAAAAGCCAATAGGAATTGTCCAGTCTGTCTCTGCCCTGCTGAGCCCGCCAAAAGTCCCATTCTGCAAACGGTGCTGCACCAGTTGAGTAGTCCTCGACTTACGACCAGTTAAGTAGTCCTCGACTTACGACCGGTTGGGGGTCGCGGCATTAAAAAGGTTGAGAACCACTGTACCAGATGTATCTCCTTAGGGCAGAGATCCCCAACCCCTGGTCCGTAGACTAATACCAGGCCGCGGCATGCCAGCAACTGGGCCCCACAAACAAGCAAAACCCCATCCGCAGGATGCAGGCAGCACACAAAACCACGCCCCCTCCGGTCTGCAGAAAAACCTCTCGTTGTGTTAACCAGTCCTTGGTGCCAAAAGGTTGGGGACGTCTGCCTTAGGGGACGGGACCCGGAACGTTCCTTGCCTCCCCGCTCTACTGGGTCGGGTGGGTCAGCGAGAGACAGTCCCTCAAATAACCTGGTCCCAAGCCATGAAGGGCTTTAAAGGGGATAATCAGGACCTTGGATTGCACCCGGAAGCAAATCGGCAACCAATGCGGTTCCCGCAGGAGAGGTAATACATGTGCAACCAAGGTTTGTCCAAAACCATGCGGGCTGCTGCGTTTTGCACCAACTGGAGCTTTCGGATGCTCTTCAGGGGCAGTCCCATATAGAGCGTGTTGCAATAGTCAAGACGGGAGGTGACTAGGGCAAAATTTTAGAGATAAAATTTCCAGAAACATAGTAATTATGTTATTGGTTAAGGCAGTGGTTCTCAACCTGTGGGTCGGGACCCCATTTGTGGTCGAACGACCATTTCACGGGGGTCGCCAAACAACGCAGTCCGCCATTTTTTCCCCTTTTTCCTTAGCTGTGCTATTCCCTTTTATTCTATTGGCTTTGGAAAGCCAATAGAATAGACTCTCTTGAATAGAATCTAATTCTATTGGCTTTCAAAAGCCAATAGGAATTGTCCAGGCTGTCTCTGCCCTTCTGAGCCCGCCAAAAGCCCCATTCTGCAAACGGTGCTGCACCAGTTGAGTAGTCCTCGACTTACAACCGGTTGAGTAGTCCTCGACTTACGACCGGTTGGGGGGTCGCGGCATTTAAAAAGTTGAGAACCACTGGGTTAAGGATTCTGCAAAACAGGGCCCAGAGAATGGGGGGGGGGGAAGTGCCTCTTTCTGAGGAACGTTCTCTTACTGGGAGAGATGGCTTGACTTTGATCTTCATGGAAGATCTCCCTGAAGAACATCTCCTGGGAAGGCTCTGGTGGATCCCTCCTTTTCTCCAGATCCTCAGGGATGGTCTTCAAGTCAGCCCTCTGGAACTGAAGGATCTGAAGAAGCAACAAAGTACAAATAATGGAACGTACAAAAAAGGAAGCAGGTGCTCACAGGAACAATCGGCATTAAGCATCTCCTTCCTTTCGTATCTTCGTAACACTACAAGTAGTCTTCAACTTACCACAGTTCATTTAGTGGCCGTTCGAAGTTTCAACAGCACTGAATAAAGTGACTTACGACCATTTTGCACAGTTACAACGTTTACGGCATCCCCAGGTTCATGTGATCAAAATTCAGACGTTTGACAACCGGCTCGTATTTATAACGCTTGCTGTGTCCTGGGGGGGAGGGGGGGAAGGACACGTGATCCCCGTTTGCGACCGTGTGACAAGCAGAGTCAATGGGGAGGCCATATTGTCTTCACGACTGGCTTAATCACTGCAGTGATTCGCTTAACAACTGTGGCAGGACAGGCTGTAAAACTCACTTAACAAGTGCCTCACTTCACCAGAGAAATGTTCGGCTCCACTGTGGTCGTAAGCCGGGGACCGTCAGTATTCAGTTACAGTTGATGTACCCACTGTTTCCAATCAACTCCACAGTACACAATAAAACCAACAGGACTAAACTAGAACGCAATAAAGAATCAACCGGCTTACTAACCTCTTTCAGCGATTCACTTAACGTCGTGAAACGGGTAAAACTCACTGAACAAATGTCTCCCTGAACAACAAAAATGTTGGCCTCCATTATAGTCATAAGCCGAGGACTACCTGTGTAAAGTCAGCCTGTAAGAATCCTAACCTATGGTTATTCTTTGACGTCCATTTTGAGCTTGCCAAGTGAAGGCCTCTCACCTGCAGCTCTGCCTTCTCCTTCTCCTCCTCCGCCTGGCTCAGGAGGAACCCTTCCGCCAGGGCCACCGCCTGGCAGGTGGTCTCTGCTCCACACTCCCGGACCCAGCTCTCCACCTCCGGGGGCATGAAGCCAAGGAACTGGTCCAGGACCACCAGGTCCTGCATTTGATCTTTGGTGTTCCTTTCGGGCTGCAGCCAATGGCGGCAAAGCTGGTGGAGATGGCTGCACATGTTCCGAGGGCCCTGAGCCCACAAGGAGGAGGACAGGGCCTCCATCTTCCTCCTGGTGATTTGCCGCAGGGCATGCTGAAGATCCTGCCCTTTCCTCCACGATGCATCCTTCACAAAGGGGACACCCGGATGGGGACAGCAGAAGTCGGGGACGCCACTCTTAAGCGACTCGAGAAGCTCCTGTTGAGGATCTCTGGTGGCTTCCTTCCTCCATGGGATGTCCTTCCAACAGGGAGCATCGTCGCTCTCCAACTGCGGCTCAGGTGCCTCCTTCGCCAGGGAAGGCCCGGAGTCAGTGGGCACTATCTTTCCTGGTGCAAGATGCTCCTGGTGGGCCCCCTCCATGGCCTTCTTCCTCCACAGGAAGTCCTTCCAACAGGGAGCATTGTCCCTCTCCACCTGCAGCCCGCAGACCTCCTTCGGATGGGGAGAGCAGAAGTCCGGGATGGCAGTCTTTCCTGACTCAAGAAGCTTCTGGTGGGGACCTGTGGTGGCTTCCTTCCTCCAGGGGATGTCCTTCCAAGAGGGGGCATCCATCTCAGCTGGCATCCCACATGCAAGGAGAGACTTTAAGTCAACGGGCACCGTCTTTCGGGGCATAAGATGCTCCTGATGGGGGTCTTTGGGAGAGCTCTCCCCGGGGGCCTCTTGGGGGGACCTGTGACCCAGTCCTGCCTCCTCCAAGGAGATTTTTGGCACGGTCCCATTGGGGTCCTCTTCTTGTTCTTCTTCATCATCATCATTATCCTTCTCATCCTCTTCCTCCTTCCCCACCATCTTTCGGGGCATAAGATGCTCCTGATGGGGGTCTTTGGGAGAGCTTTCCCCGGGGGCCTCTTGGGGGGACCTGTGACCCAGTCCTGCTTCCTCCAAGGAGATTTTTGGCACGGTCCCATTGGGATGCTCTTCTTGTTCATCTTCATCATCCTCATTAGCCTTCTCATCCTCTTCCTCCTTCCCCACCACCATCTCCACCCGATCGGGGCAGCTGGGCGCTCTCCTCCGCGCCAGGCGCAGCGCCTTCTCCAGCAGCGGACGCAGGTCCTCCACCGGCAGCTCGTCGGCCCGCTCGGCCCAGCCTTCCTCCTGCAGGGCCTGGAGCAGGGCCAGCAGCTGCCGCCGCCGCCGCCACCACCCCAGCCGGGCGCTTCCTTTCTCCCGCGGCAGCGACTCCAGCGCCCGGAGCGCCTCCCGCGGCCGCTTCTCCAGCAGCGCCTCCAGAGCAGGCGCAGCACTTCCGGACAGGTCTGGTCCCTCCGCTCCCTCCAGCTCGGCCGCCAGCCCCAGCAGGGCCGTCCGCAGCGCCGCCACGCCGGGCGTCCTCCCGCGCCTCCGTCCCGCCGAGGCGAAGGCCGGAGCCGCGCCCTGGCCCAGGGCCTGGATGCCGCGCAGGAGCGCCATCTCCAACCGCAGCAGCCCCTGCAGCCGCTCCTGCTCGGCTTCCGACAGCCTCGCGTTGCGGGCCAGCAGCGCCTCCCGGCCTCGCCGGGCTTGGCTGAGCTGCGCGCAGAAGCGCTCCAGGTTCGGCGGCCCGTCCAACTTCACCGCCCAGCGCCAGCGGGCCTGGACCGGCGGGGAGACGTGCGCCGCCAGCAGCGCCTCGGCTTTGGCCAGCTTGCGCGCCAGCCGCTCCGGGGAGAAACCCAGCGCGGCCGCCATTTCCCTCGCTTCGCCTGGCCTGGCCTGGCCTGGCAGCTGGAGACCCCGCCTCTTCTGCCCAAGCCCTCCTCCCGAAAGGCGGAGCTCTGTGGGCCACGCCCCTCCCGGCCCTACTGGGAAATCTCTTTTGCAGGCCCCTCAACCGGAATACAATAGAGTACAGTAGAGAAGAGAAGAGTATAGAGTAGAATAGAGTATAGAATAGAGCAGTGTTTCTCAACCTTGACAATTTTAAGGCATGTGGACTTCAACTCCCAGAATTCCACAGCCAGCTTTGCTGGTTGAGGAATTCTGGGAGTTGAAGTCCACAAGTCTTAAAGTTGCCAAGGTTGAGAACCCCTGCTGTGGAATTCTGGGAGTTGAAGTCCACATGCCTTAAAATTGTCAAGGTTGAGAAACACTGGAATAGAGCATAGAACAGAACAGAACAGAACAAAATAGAGAACAGAACAGAACAGAACAGAACAGAACAGAATAGAATAGAATAGAATAGAATAGAATAGAATAGAATGTACAGGTATAGTATAGGGCAGGGGTAGGCAACCTTGGTTCTTTTATGACTCATGGACTTCAACTCCCAGAATTCCCGAGCCAGCTATGTTGAGGGGAAAGGGAGAGGTTTCCATGCTGAGCCATGCTGGCTCAGGAATTCTGGGAGTTGAAGTCCATGAGTCATAAGAGAGCCAAGGTTGCCTACCCCTGGTATAGGGGGTACCTTGCTCAATAGCAGTAATTGTGAGAGGGACCTCGGAGTCCTAGTGGACAATCACTTAAATAGGAGCCAGCTGTGTGCTGCAGTGGCCAAAAAGGCCAACACAGTGCTGGGCTGCATTAACAGAGGGATAGAATCAAGATCACAAGAAGTGTTAATACCACTTTACAATGCCTTGGTAAGGCCGCACTTGGAATACTGCATCCAGTTTTGGTCACCACGATGTAAAAAAGATGTTGAGACTCTAGAACAGTGGTTCTCAACCTGTGGGTCGGGACCCCATTTGAGTTCGAACGACCATTTCATGGGGGTCGCCAAACAAGGCTGTCCGCCATTTTTTCCCCCTTTTCTTTGGCCACGCCCCTGGCACCCAATGATGTATAAGTGGTTGGGGGTCACCACAACATGGGGAACTGTATTATGGGATCGCGGCATTAGAAAGGTTGAGAACCACTGCTCTAGAAAGGGTACAGAGAAGAGCAACAAAGATGATTAGGGAACTGGAGGCTAAAGCATATAAGAAACGGTTGCTGGAATTGGGTATGTCTAGTTTAATGAAGAGAAGGACGAGGGGGGACATGATAGCAGTGTTCCAATATCTCAGGGGCTGCCCCAAAGAACAGGGAGTCAAGCTATTCTCCAAAGCGCCTGAAGGCAGGACAAGAAGCAACGGATGGAAACTGATCAAAGAGAGATTCAACCTAGAACTAAGGAGAAACTTCCTGACAGTGAGAACAATTAACCAGTGGAACAACCTGCCTCCAAAAGTGGTGAATGCTCCAACACTGGAAGTTTTTAAGAAGAGACCGGACAGCCATTTGTCCAAAATGGTATAGGGTTTCCTGGCTGAGCAGGGGGTTGGACTAGATGATCTCTAAGGTCCCTTCCAACATCATCATCATCATCATCATCATCATTATTATTATTATATATTTGAGCAGTTGCCACAAAGAAGAGAGGGCTCAACTTTTTTTCCAAAGCACCAGAAGGCAACCCAAGAAACAAGGGATGGGAAACTAATCGCGGAGAGAAGCAACCTCGAACTAAAAAGAAATTTCAGAATAACAGAATTGGAAGGAACCTTAGAGGTCATCTAGTCCAACCCCCTGCTGAGGCAGGAAGCCCTCTACCATTTCAGACAAATGATTATTCCAGTGTTGGAGCATTCACAACTTCTGGAGGCAGGTTGTTCCATGGAGATTTCCCTTTTATTTTTCTTGCTGAAATTTTTTCTGCAAAGTAAGTTTTTTATGCACCACAACTCTAGACATTCTTAGGATGGCTCCCGCTGTTGCCCAGATACTGAATTAATTAATGTGTTCCTCATAGATTCCTTCCCTCATCCTGCACTTTGACTTTGTTCCCCCATTTGTTCATTCGTTCATCCGTCCATCCGTTTATTTTGATTCATTGATTTGTTCATTGATTCATTCATCTATTCATTTATTCTTCATATTTTTCAACCGCCCCCGCCCGAAAGGGGAGGAGGTCTGATGGATGCACAACGTAATTAATAAAATTACACATTAAAATCAGAATAATTTAGGATTGAAAAATTTAAAATTATAAAACATTATAAAAATGCGAAAAGATGAATTCCAAAGTGGTGGATTAATACAGGCCGGAGGGTGTGTGTGTGTGTGTGTGAGTTCTCGTGAGGTCAGCCAGCTCCATGTGGTGGGTGCCTGTATCCCTCACACAAGGCCACACACAGCTAATTTTTGATCCCTTTGCAGAAGGCCAAGAAACTGGGGGCTTTCCTCACCTCTGATGGGCAAGATTTCCACAAAGCAGGGGCAATGGTAAAAAAAGACCCTCTTCCTAGAGCAGGGGTAGGCAACCTTGGCTTTTTGATGACTGGTGGACTTCAACTCCCAGAATTCCTGAGCCAGCATGGCTCAGCATGGCAACCTCTCCCTTTCCCCTCAACATGGCTGGCTCAGGAATTCTGGGAGTTGAAGTCCACCAGTCATAAAAGAGCCAAGGTTGCCTACCCCTGTCCTAGACTCCACCAATCAAAGGTCTTTGATTAACATGGTCTGTAGCATGCTTTCCCCACCTGAACTAGTGGGAGGGGCTGATGTGATGGGGCGAAACCAGTTCCATAGGTAGCTTGTCCCTATGCCATATAGGGTTTTATAGGTAATAACCAACACCTTGAATTGGATCTGGAAGCAAACTGGCAACCAGTGCAATTTGCGGAGCAAGGGTGTTATATATGTCCTTTTTGGGGCACCCAACATGGCTCATGGTGCCCCACTCTGCACCAGCTGAAGCTTTCAGATACTTTTAAAGCAGCGGTTCTCAACCTATGGGCCGCGGCCCCATTTGGGGTTGATCGACCATTTCATGGGGGTCGCCAAGCAAGGCTGTCCGCCATTTTTTCCCCCCTTTTCTGGCGGGTGCCTTACCTCCCTTGGGCTGGGCCAGCTGGTGGCCCAGCCGGTGGTCGGCCTGCTCCGTCTCTGCCGCTTGCCAGCTACGCCTTGGCCGGCACAGGGGGTGGCACCACGCATGCGCGGTGCTCCCGGCAGGAAAAGTCCTCGACTTACGACTGGTTTAGTCCTCGACTTATGACCGGTTTAGTCCTCGACTTACGACCAGTTGGGGGGTCGCGGCATTAAAAAGGTTGAGAACCACTGTTTTAAAGGATAACCCCTGTAGAGATCAAGCCAAGTATAATCTTTTATGTAGAATCAATCTTTCGTGTATAACATAACCCAGCTATTGTTCATTTATTTTTGCTTGTTTCTGTCTGTGCCCCATTATATTCTAAATGGTGCTGACCAAAGAAAATGCTTTTGTTACTTTAAACTGGGTTGTTTCAAGAGAAAACCTAGCTAAGAAACTGCAACACTTCGCTCCTCTCCCACCCCTTCTCTCTCCTTGGATCTTAAAAAGTGTCAAATTCCCTTCTGCTTCTCTGCCATGGTTTTAAAATGGAACAGCTTTTTGCCTCTCTGTGAATTAACAAAGTTAATGGGTTAATTGCCTGCTATTGTGTAGTCAAGCTTAGAGATGCAGAAATGTAAGCTAGAATAAATAAGGAGATTCAAAGGAACTTTTTGGATGCTGAGGAATCTTGTAATGTGTATTAGTTATAAAAAGAAGAACTTTTCTGATTAGGAGCCCTTCCTTTCTCCGCTGTCTCACAGAAGTGCCTGCGTGTGGCAAGAGATTGAAGGGCCCAGCCTATAACTTTTTTTTTAAAACAAATTTTATTGTTTTTTTAATTTTTAAAACAAAGTGCTCGAGACACATTGTGGTGCTGGGTAATCAAAAATCCAAAAATAAAACATATATAGATAACACAATCGGTACATCAAATACTCCCTCTCTATTTCCCTCACATAGCTTATAGTCTATTTCTAACTTAAATTTCTATTAATCCCAGACCTGTTTTAAAGCTTTATACAATTACCATAATCAAATTTAACTTTAAATAACCACATTATCAGTTCAAGTATCCCTTCCAAATATATTCTAATTCTTTAATTTTATCATAAATCTTGTTTATTCCTTCTTCCACTAATATCTCCCATTTATTGATCTATCCCATCATCTTGTTGAAATAACATTCAATTAATTATTAGTTCAGTCCCATTCTAGAATACCTCTTCAATTTTCTTCATTCCATTATATAATAATTTTCATAGAAATAAACCTATTATTCCAAAAATACATTCTTACTTTATTTAATGTATATATTCTAATAATCAACCATTTTTGTTACTTCTAACTCAAGAGCTTAAGCTTTAAATCAATCCATAGTTCTAAAATGCCTGAAATCCAGTATATACAGTTTTAAATTTCCCTTTTTAGTCTTATTCCAGGCTTCTTTTTCTGCCAAGCAGGTTTCCACAACGCTTCCCTTGCAGCCAATAGGTCTCTCTTTGTTGCTTTTGATGCCATTTGAGGCAGTAATAAGCCTCCCATCCTCTGCATTGGACTGACCTATAACTTTGATTAAAGGAATAAAGCTGTGTTTATTTCAGAATGCCTCATGTTCAGAGTCTCAGTGGGATTTATTAGGATTCTGAGCTGAAAAACCTTACAACCCCATGTAGGTGCATTAGAATAGTCCAATCGGGAGATGACCAGGGCACGAGTGACCGAGTGATTATTTGGACTCCTGTCTCTTCAAATTCAGAAAATAGACAAAAAAAACCCTGTTAGAACTCATCTCTATTGCTATAGGTATGAATCTTGAAAACCTAACTCCCTCTTATACCAAAAAGAGTCAAGGCAGGCCAATCTTGAGTTTCTTCCTCACCCCCTCTTGCCTTCCTGGGCTAAGCTGATATTTATGTAACAGCTGCCGCATACTTTCTTCAAAACCATCCCATGCAAACCTTCAGTCCCACTTCCTGTACCTTAATGGGCTACTGGCCCAAGGCCTGTTTTCAGGGCAAGGAGGGAGGCATGGCAGAATCTGCACCCAGTCCTTTCTCCTTGTAGCTTCTTTTCTTCACAGTGCATTTCCTAAGGACACAAAAAGGGTTGAGGGGGGAGAGAACTAGATTTTTTCTTCAGACATTTATACTTTTTGATCATTTCTGATCTGAATATCATAGGTATACCAGTTTTAACTACCCACTAATATTAACATACCTCTGGCTAGGCTGGACTCAATGCTTTGTAAACTCAACGCTTTGTGAACATTAGTACATTTGATCCTGGAAAGAAAACTGTCACACAGAATTAATGACACTTGGGCAATAAATCAAAAGTGACGGACTCTGTTTGATTTTGGATAAGTGACTGCATCCCAGTCTAAATGGTCAGGAGATAACCCTTGTAAACAGTACTTTCACAATGAAGTAGGGGTTGACCTGGTTAAATCCTTAGGTAGGAACAAACATCTGGGCCTCCATAACCAAAAGACAGGAATACAGGAATTTTTTTTAAAAAAAATATTACTTAATTTATTTTCCCTTCTTTTAGAAGCTTAAGGCAATGTTTACTTCTAAATTTTGTCCCCAACAACCTCAGTGATGAATCTAAAATGACCCCATAATAGGACCCAACAGACTGAGATTTGAGGTTTAAGGCACAGTTAAACTGTCCTTGATTCGGTTTTAGAGGAAAGCTGTGTGCAATCTTGCATCTTCTATTTTCACCGTGGCTCAGGGAAACCTCTTTTTCAAGGACTGAGCTAAAATAAGAGCTATGACGTTTATTTATCACTTTGTATTCTAAAACCAAGTTAATTTACTCCAATTCCAGATTTCCTGACACTTTCTCCACTATTCTTGAAGGGGGGGGGGGCTTTCCTTTGTTTTCAGATTATCGTCAAAAATTTTTGTGCATGCACATTGCCTTCTGTTGCTGCTTCCTCCCTTTTCCTACTTCAAGCACTTGTGTTAGGATATTTAATTTAGTAGCTGGAACAGTAAAATGGACAATGGGCCAGAACACACGGTTGAAGTTGATTGGTTGGAGAGTGCTGGCTCCTGCATGAGGCAATCTATGCTATGATTGGTTATTGTGGGGGTAAAGGAGGAGTTTCCCTTTTTCTCCACTTTTTTCTTCTGTGTGCTTTGTATGCTGTTTAGATTTACCTCATGTTCCTGCATTCCTGACCATCTTGTCTGCTCATGCATGACATAATCTATGCTGTGATTGGTTGATGTGGGTATAAAGGGGGAGTTTCCCTTTTTTCCCGCCTTTTTCTTCTGTTGCTCTGTATGCTATTTAGATTTACCTCATGTTTCTGCGTTCCTGACTAACTTGTCTGTTGTAGATATAAACGTTAAAAATATTTATTTATATAAAACTACAAGTTCATGTCAGTGTCTCTGACTTCATCTGGACACCTGCTGTGCAATTTCATAACAGCTTGCATCTGTGCTTTCAGTAAATTCTACTCTGGGATCCTACCAGTTGCAGAAACGGTTGCTGGAATTGGGTATGTCTAGTTTAACAAAGAGAAGGATGAGGGGGGACATGATAGCAGTGTCCCAGTATCTCAGGGGCTGTCACAAAGAAGAGGGAGTCAATCTGTTCTCCAAAGCACCTGAAGGCAGGACAAGAAGCAACGGATGGAAACTAATCAAGAAGAGAACCAACCTAGAATTAAGAAGAAATTTCCTGATAGAACTATTAATCAATGGAACAACTTGCCTCCAGAAGTTGTGGATGCTCCATCACTGAAGGTTTTGAAGAAGAGATTGGACAATCATTTGTCTGAAATCGTATAAAATTTTCTGCTTGAGCATGGGGTTGGACTAGAAAAACTCCAAGGTTTCTTCCACTCCGCTATTCTGCTATTCTAGTTCCTTTTCCTCAAACTACTAACCCCTTCATCTCTCAAACTAGTTTGCCAACCTCTTCCATATGTTTTATTTTTTTGAAACCAACATGTCATGTGATTGCTTAACCCCAATAAGAATCTTTGCAAGATGCAGCCATCATTTCATTTTGCTGTCTTTCTTACACACCCGTGTCTTTAATCAGGAAGGCCAAGGCAGTTCGCAACTAGTTAAACTGTAAAACAGAAAGATATTGGAACACTGCTATCATGTCCCCCCTTGTCCTTCTCTTCGTTAAACTAGACATACCCAATTCTAGCAACCGTTCCTTATATGTTTTAGCCTCCAGTCCCCTAATCATCTTTGTTGTTCTTCTCTGCACTCTTTCTAGAGTCTCAACATCTTTTATACATCGTGGTGACCAAAACTGGATGCCGTATTCCACGTGTGGCCTTACCAAGGCATTGTAAAGTGGTATTAATACTTCACGTGATCTTGATTCTCTCCCTCTGTTAATGCAGCCCAGCATTGTGTTGGCTTTTTTGGCAGCTGCAGCACACGGCTGGCTCATATTGAAATGATTGTCCATAAACCCTTCCATTCCCTACCATCCAGTCAGAGCTGAAGAAGTTCCTTAGATGAGAAGCAAAGCGTCTTCAAAGAAGAACCAGAAAGTCCAGTTGCCTCCTGAAAAAGGACGTTTTGGGACAAGCATGACCTTGAGGACTGACAATCTCCATAGACCTCCCCAGATTAGGATATGGAGCAAGACTGGTTAGGGAGGTATTTGGAGAAGTAATGTTTCTCTCACCTGATGCTTTTCATCCTCTGCTTGGGTCAGGAGGAAGCCTTCGGCCAGGGCTACAGCCTGAGAACTGGTCTCTGCTCCACATTCTCTCACCCAGTTGGCCATCTCCACGGGAAGGTCAGTGAGAAAACACTCTAGGACAGTGGTTCTCAACCTGTGGCTTGGGACCCCATTTGGGGTCGAACGACCATTCCACGGGGGTCGCCAAACAACGCAGTCCACCATTTTTTTCCCCTTTTCCTTAGCTGTGCTACTCCCTTTTATTCTATTGGCTTTTGAAAGCCAATAGAATAGACTCTCTTGAATAGAGTCTAATTCTATTGGCTTTCAAAAGCCAATAGGAATTGTCCAGGTTGTCTCTGCCCTGCTGAGCCCATCAAAAGCCCCATTCTGCAAACGGTGCTGCAAGTTGTCTGCAGCGAAGGCGAGCTGTCTGGAAGTTTCCACTCCTCCCTGCTGAGCAACTACTAAAAATGTAAGTAAAAGAAGGCCAGGGGTGGGAGGCGGGAGGCCGGCGGGCGCAGGGAGGGTTGCTGGCGCGTGTGGGGCCCAGCGGGTGCTTTACCTCCCTTGGGCTGGGTCAGCTGGTGGCCCAGCCGGTGGTTGGCCTGCGCCGTCTCTGCCGCTTGCCAGCTACGCCTCGGCCGGCGCAGGGGGCAGCACCACGCATGTGCAGCGCTCCCGGGCAGGGAAAGCCCTCGACTTACGACCGGTTGGGTAGTTCTCGACTTACGACCGGTTGGGTAGTCCTCGACTTACGACCGGTTGGGGGTCGTGGCATTAAAAAGGTTGAGAACCACTGCTCTAGGACTACCATATCCAGCATCTGAGCCTTAGTGTTTCTTTCTGGTTGCAGCCACTCAAGGCAAAGGCGGTGGAGACAGCTGCAAAGTTCTCTTGGTCCTTGGCTCTCCGGGGAGAAGAATCTCCTGCACTGCTGGGGTTGGACTTTCCAAGGGAAGGTTCCTTCTACCTGGACCTTCTGGCTGAAGTCGGCGTGGGCATCATGAATGAGGTCCTTGGCTTCCCACTTCTCTCCAGGCTTCCCCAGAGACCCAAAGTGTTTGACGGGCTCTTGTGAATCTGCAGAGGTGTTTTCTCTGCGGAACGCAGCGCTGGTGAGTCTCCATCACGGCCCTTTAGGAGAGCACTTGGAGCTCCCTCTTTCGCCTTTTCCTGCAAGGAAGGAAACTTCAAGGTGAGCCTGTTGCTCTTCCCTCTTTTGCATTTCACCCCCCCACACACACACAACTTAGCAGAAGGGATGTTCCACATTTGGGTCGGGATGTGTCTTCTTCCCAAAGGGGACAGTCAGAGCCCTTCTCGGCTCCCCATGGTTTCCTTATTCCTCTGCATATATTCCAAGATGGGTCTTTCCTGCAGCCTCCCACCGGGGGTCCCCCAGCTCTCCTCTCCTCCAAAACTGCAGCTTATTCAAAGCTTTGAATAAGCCCGGTTGTTCAGAAAAGAGGCAACCACAAGCCTGATTTTTTTTGGGGGGGGGGGGGACAGCCTGTCCCAAAAGGAAAGGCTTTTTCCAGAGCAGCCCCTCCCCTCCGGGGTCTGCAAGCAGGGATTCCCTGAAAAGAGGGGGGGGTCCCCTTAAAAAGGAAATGGGGAATCCTCATCAGACAGATCCTCTATCCAGGGATTCTCAACCTTGGCAACTTTAAGACTTGTGGACTTCAATTCCCAGAATTCCTCAGCCAGCAAAGCTGGCTGAGGAATTCTGGGAATTGAAGTCCACAAGTCTTAAAGTTGCCAATGCATACATGGCAGCCTGCTCGGGTTGAGCGATGCTGCTGCGCCCAGCGCAGATGCTGCGATCCCTTTCCTTGCGCTTGCAAAAGATCCGCGCTTGGACGCTGCTCTCTCTCTCTCTCTCTCCGCCACATCACTTATAGAGTTAACGGGAGTGAGTGCTGCTTCCTAGAGGGGCAAATCCCCGGGCAATGCCTCCTCAAAGAATTCCACCTTCCCTCCCACTCAGCGAGCTGCGATAAGGGAGGGGGGGATTATCCCGCGCATGCTCAGTTGCCGTCCAAAGCAGGATCGGCCTAGGGCGCAATTTTAAAAGGGCGGAGAGAGCGCCTCCTGGTGGCTGTAGCTGGGCGTGCAGAGAAAAGTCCGCTGAAGGGTGCAAATAGTGAGAAAATGTCTGTGGAGATTCTCAGCCATCCAGGGTTATTATGGTTGTCCTATAGGTGTTTTTTGTTTTTTGTTTTCCAGGAGGCAACTGGACTTTCTTTCTCTCTCTCCCTCTCTTTGAAGAAGTTTCGCTTCTCATCCAAGAAGGATTTATACTCCTTGCAGCCAGCTGGTGATTTGCATTACTCAGGTGACCCTGAGGACACAGGGAAACTTCTAAATCAGGGGTATCAAACTGCCTCCCCCCCCCCCGGCCAAATGCATCACCAAATTCTCCCACCCCATTGTTGGCAATGGAGAAAAAGCTCTGATACGTCCTGTGACATCACGTGACGTCGAGAGTTAAACGGGCTCAACAACTCTCTAAAAGAATGCAAATGACCAGCTGTCTGCAAGGTGTATAAATCCTTCCATTCCCCACCATCCAGTCAGAGCTGAAGAAGCTCCTTGGATGAGGAGCAAAAAACATCTTCAAAGAAAAACAAGAAAGTCCAGTTGCTTCCTGAAAAAGCACCTTTGGGACAACCATGACACGGATGACTGTGAATCTCCATAGTCATTTAGCTATGCACTTTGGGAGGAACACCCTTCAAATGGTGTGGGAGTATGAACGGATTTCCCAAAAACATTGCAGACTACCGGAACCATTTGTCCTTCAGTTTGAGATGCAGACTTGGATTTCAGAAAGGCACTTGACAAAGTAGACCACAACCTACTACTTGAGAAGATAGAAAAATGTGGGTTAGACAGCATCATCACCTGATGGATCCATAGCTGGCTGACAGGCCGTACTCAGCGTGTGGTCCTCAATGGAACCGCATCTACATGGAGGGACGTGTGTAGTGGAGTGCCCCAGGGCTCTGTTCTGGGCCCAGTGCTCTTCAGCATCTTCATCAACGATCTGGACGAGGGGATAGATGGGGAACTCATCAAATTTGCAGACGACACCAAGCTGGAGGAATAGCCAACACTCCAACAGGCTTAGGATACAGGAGGATCTGGACAGACTTGAACACTGGGCGCTATCTAACAAAATGAAATTCAGTGGTGAAAAAAGTAAGGTTCTACATTTAGGCAAGAAAAACCAAATGTACAGGTATAGTATAGGGGCTACCTTGCTCAATAGTAGTAACTGTGAGAGGGATCTCAGAGTCCTAGTGGACAATCATTTAAATATGAGCCAGCCGTGTGCTGCAGTTGCCAAAAAGGCCAACACAATGCTAGGCTGCATTAACAGAGGGATGGAATCAAGATCACGTGAAGTATTAATACCACTTTACAATGCCTTGGTAAGGCCACACTTGGAATACTGCATCCAGTTTTGGTCACAGCAATGTAAAAAAGATGTTGAGACTCTAGAAAGAGTACAGAGAAGAGCAACAATGATAATTAGGGGACTGGAGGCTAAAACATATAAGGAACGGTTGCTGGAATTGGGTATGTCTAGTTTAATGAAGAGAAGGACAAGGGGGGACATGATAGCAGTGTTCCAATATCTCAGGGGCTGCCACAAAGAAGAGGGAGTCAAGCTGTTCTCCAAAGCGCCTGAAAGGAGGACAAGAAGCAACGGGTGGAAACTAACCAAAGAGAGAAGCAACCAAGAACTAAGGAGAAACTTCCTGACAGTGAGAACAATTAACCAGTGGAACAACCTACCTCCAGAAGTGGTGAATGCTCCAACACTGGAATTTTTAAGAAGAAACTTCGGACAGCCATTTGTCCGAAATGGTATAGGGTTTCCTGCCTGAGCAGGGGGTTGGACTAGATGACCTCCAAGGTCCCTTCCAACTTTATCATTATTATTATTATCCCCAACAGCCTGCACCTGTCTTCAAGAGGGAAGGGACGCAGGACAGAAACCATCCTGCAGCCAAGAAGGTTCCACACCCATTTGCACAATTCAAGTGACCCTGAGTACACAAGTAAACCTCCAAATGGCCTCAATGACTCTCTAAATCAGTGGTTCTCAACCTTTTTAATGCCGTGACCCCCAACCGGTCATAAGTCGAGGACTACTCAACCGGTCGTAAGTCAAGGACTACTCAACTGGTGCAGCACCGTTTGCAGAATGGGACTTTTGGCGGGCTCAGCAGGGCAGAGACAGCCTGGACAATTCCTATTGGCTTTTGAAAGCCAATAGAATTAGACTCTATTCAAGAAGAGTCTATTCTATTGGCTTTCAAAAGCCAATAGAATAAAAGGGAGTAGCACAGCTAAGGAAAAGGGGGGAAAAAATGACGGACTGCGTTGTTTGGCGACCCCCATGAAATGGTCGTTCGACCCCAAATGGGGTCCTGACCCACAGGTTGAGAATCATTGATCTAAATGAATGCAAATGACCAGCTGTCTGCAAGGTGTATAAATCCTTCCATTCACCACCATCCAGGCGGAGCTGAAGAAGCTCCTTGAATGAGAAGCAAAACGTCTTCAGAGGAAAAACAGTGCTGAAGGAGTTCCTTGGAGGAGCGAAATGTCTTCAGAGAAAAACAAGAAAGCCCAGTTGCCTCCTGAAAAAGCACCTTAGGAAACGAATCAAGAGAGCCCCAGAAGTTACCTTAATACTAGATTGCTGGGATGGCTGTTTTTTTTTTTTGCTCTGTACAGGCGGTTCTTGGGTTATAACTGTTTGTTTAGTGACCGTTCATAATAATAAACTTTAAAGTCATTGTATGCGTATACACAGTATACACATACAACGAACTTTACGTGACACCCAAAGACCAGGTCCCACACACATAATCCCCAAACACACTCCCACCCACCACAATTCCCCACCCCTAAAACCGCCCAAACATCCACCCAACAGATCAAGGAATACTGTCCAACAGTTCACTGATGGTGGCCTTTTAGTTCATTATTAAGTGCAATTATAGCTCTGGGATAAAGACTATTCAGAAAACGTGTGGTCCGAATTTTAAATGTTCTATATCAGCGGTTGGGTCGATCGACCTCTTTTCGGGGGTCGCCAAAGGCGGCGATCCGCCATTTTGTCCCCTCCGGGGGGGGCGGTGCCACACATGCACGGTGCGCATGGGGGCGGCGGCGCGCCTCTGGGGGCGGCGCTGCGCATGCGCCCCGTACATGGGGGCGGCGGCGTGCCTCCGGGGGGCGCCGCCGCGCATGCGCGCCGCACGTGGGGGCAGCGGCGTGCCGCCGCGCGTGGGGGGGCACCACCGCGCCTGCGCGCCGCGCGCGGTGGGGCGCCATGCGCGCTGCACCGCGCATGCGCATAATGTTTGTGTGACGGGGGTCGCCGTCACACAAACATTGAGAACCCCTGTTCTATATCTTTTGCCAGAAGGCAACAGTCCAAAGAGATTGTAAGCAGGATGGGAAGAGTCTCTGAGAATGTTATGCAACTTCCTCAAACAGCGAGATTCGAAGATGTTGTCCAGGGCTGGTAGCAATGGCACTGAAAAAAGGGAGTCATAGCCGATGTTCATGCTAACAGCCGTCGCAGCATCCCCGTGGTCATGTGATCAAAGTTCAAATACTGGGCAACTGGTTCATATTTATGACGGTCGCAGTGTACTGGGATCATGTGATTGCCTGGACTTCATCATGCTGGCTGGGAAATTCTGGGGTTTGAAGTTAAAAAAGCCTCTAGTGTTGGAGCACTCACAACTTCTGGAGGCAAGTCGTTCCACTGATTAATTGAAAAATTAATTAAAAAGATTAGACAACCATTTATTCAGAATGGTGTCTGAGTCTCCTGCTCAAAGAGGGCTTGGTCTAGATGACCTCTAAGGTCCCTTCCATCTCTGATATTCTATGATTCTATAATTTTGTTTTGGCTCAGATATTTTCATATTCCTGGGCAACAGGTATGGGGAAATAGAATAATCAGGTTGCTCTCGGTCAGCTTAGCCTCACTGAGCAGTGAGGTCAAACTTTTTGATTTTTTTTCTATATAACGCCTCTTTTCCAATTTTTTTTAACAATTATTCTGCCTTTATCGATTCGGAAATTAAATTCCATAATACGGCTTATCTATTTTTATTTTGTTAATAGGTTTGGGAATAGATTCCTGTTCTAAAATATGGCTATGAAAGCTGGACACTGAATGAGAGAATAGAAAAAGAGAAAAAGAAATAGAGAAATTAATGTAATGTAATGTAATGTAATGGAATGGAATAGAATAGAAAAAGAGAAAAAGAAATAGAGAAATTAATGGAATGGAATGGAATAGAATAGAAAAAGAATAGAATAGAATAGAAAAAAGAATAAAATAGAATAGAAAAAAGAAGAATAGAATAGAATGGAATGGAATGGACTGGACTAGACTAGACTAGACTAGACTAGACTAGACTAGACTAGACTAGACTAGAATAGAATAGAATAGAATAGAATAGAATAGAATAGAATAGAATAGAATAGAATAGAATTCTTTAGTGACCAAGTGTGATTGGACCCACAAGGAATTTGCCTCTGGTGCAGAAGCTCTCAAGTGTACATATAAACAGCAAGTAATAGGTCATAGATCACAATAAAGAACAATTGAGAAATCATAAGAAACCAATAGAAGATTATGAATTTGGAAGTGATCCAAATAGTATAGTAGACTCTAGTATAGTAGACTCTAGAAAGAATACCTAGAGTACAGAGAAGAGCAACAAAGATGATTAGGGGACTGGAGGCTAAAGCATATAAGAAATGGTTGCTGGAATTGGGTGTGTCTAGTTTAATGAAGAGAAGGACAAGGGGGGACAGGATAGCAATGTTCCAATATCTCAGGGGCTGCCCCAAAGAAGAGGGAGTCAAGCTATTTTCCAAGGCGCCTGAAGGCAGGACAAGAAGCAACGGGTGGAAACTAACCAAGGAGAGAAGCAACCTAGAACTAAGGAGAAACTTCCTGACAGTTAGAACAATTAACCAGTGGAACAACCTGCCTCCAGAAGCGGTGAATGCTCCAACACTGGAAGTTTTTAAGAAGAGACTGGACAGCCATTTGTCCGAAATGGTATAGGGTTTCCTGCCTGAGCAGGGGGTTGGACTAGATGACCTCCAAGGTCCCTTCCAACTTTATTATTATTATTATTATTATTATTATTATTATTATTATTATTATTATTATTATTATTATTATATAATAGTATATACTGCAGTATAAGATTCAATAATAGATCACCGAAGAAATAAAGACTGTAGTAGTAATTATTTGTATTATTACATTTATACCATGCCTTTCTATTTCTATAAACACTCAAGTCAGCTTACAAAAAAATGTAAGGACAAGAAGATGCAGAACACTCCTAGTATTTTTATGGGCTTTCCCTGATGTGGATACTTTTATGGGACAGAAGGTAACAGCTCTGAGTAAAGCTTTTCCCGCACTCCAGACATTTATAGCCTTTCTCTCCATGGTGGATGTTCCTATGGTAAGAAAGGTGACTGCTCCTGCTGAAGCTCTTCCCGCACTCCAGACATTTGTAGGGTTTTTCTCCCATGTGGATCCTTTGATGGTAGATGAGGTAACAGCTTTGAGTGAAGCTCTTTCCGCACTCCAGACATTTAAACGGCTTCTCTCCCGGGTGGATGTTTTTATGGGAAGACAGGTGACTGCTTCGAATGAAGCTCTTCCCACACTCCAGGCATTTGTAGGGTTTCTCCCCGGTGTGAATCCTTTTATGGATCGTGAGATCCGTGCTGCCCCGGAAAGTCTTCCCGCATTCCGTGCACTTTAACGATCTCTCCCCTGTGTGGATCCTCCGGTGGGCCTGAAAGGCACTACGGTCTCTGAAGCACCTTCCGCAGTCCGCGCACTTATACGGTTTCTCCCCCGTGTGGATCCTCATGTGGTTAGGCAGGTGGCTGCTCCACCTGAAAGTTTTTCCACACTCCACGCACATATATGGCTTCTCCCCAGTGTGGATCCGCATGTGGCAAGTGAGGTGACCCCTCTGAATGAAGCTCTTTCCACACTCCGCGCATTGAAAGGGTTTCTCCCCGGTATGGATCCGTTTGTGCAACGTCAGGTTGCTGCTCATGGTGAAACCCTTCCCGCACTCCGTACATTTGAAGGGTTTCTCGCCGGTGTGAACCCTTTTGTGAGAGGTAAGGTCGGTATTGCGTCGAAAGCTTTTTCCGCATTCCGTGCATTTGTAGGGCTTCTCCCCCGTGTGGATCCTCTTGTGGGAAGTGAGGGAACTGGAGTGGCTAAAGGTTTTTCCACACTCCGTGCATTTATATGGTTTGTTTTCTGGGGAGACGCTCTGATGCAAAGTCAGAGGGAAGTTCTCATAGTAAGTCTTCACGCGGTCTCTGCGTTCGCAAGCTTTCGCTTTTGTGTGGATTCTGCAATCTTTGGTTCTATCAGGTTTATCTTTGAACAATTTCCCATACCTTGAATTCTCTCCTTTTGTCTTTCCCTTGTGATTTTCTTGGGTCTGGAAGTCCTGTATTTCCACACTTTGAGTAACTGAGAACGTCTCACCCTGTTTGCTTCGCTGATTGTCCTCCCCTTGTTGTGGTCTCCACATGTTTTGAAACATCTCTTCTTGTCCTTCATACTTAATTGTTTGCAATGCAAATATCCTTGTCTTCTCATTATTCTTATTTTCTTTTCCATCACCTGTATGGGGGGGGGGAGAAAAAAATGAGTAATAACCATTAGGATAATGAAGAAACATTAACTCCCATGAAAACTTAAACTCCACGAGTTGCAATTATTCTCCAGCATTTCAAATCTTTCCCTCCTATTTGTTTGTTTGTTTCATTCATTCATTCTGTTCATATGGCATAACAGAATACAGCATTAATGCACACAATTCATTAAAAACAGCATTTAAAAATGTCCTTTCCTCTTTCTAAACTTGGAAACCAAGATGATGCATTAATTATTATTCGGTCCCGGAAAATAATATGATTTCTTTGTTCTGCTAATTTTCATGTTTCATTATACACAAATGCATCCCTTCCTACCTCTGAAACCCAATGTTGGATTAATTTCCATTAGAATGTATGAACAAATTTAACATGAGGCTATAGAAAGGTAAGAAAATCAATCTATTACAGAAGATGGCCTTTGGGATTTTTTGAAGATTTTTGAAGAGTTGTAGCAAGTGCACAGTTTTATAATTTCTTCACTGGAACTAGCAACTCTACCTTCCCCATTCTTACAAATGTCCCCACCCAACTGTCTTATTACGTTCATACAAAGAAGCTTGCCAAATTATGAAGACCAAAAGCATAAATTAACATGGCCACGGAGAAAGGAAGACATAAGGAGCTGACATGGCATGGAGACCAACATCACAAACATCATCCATATATTGTTACTGGTAAGATTTAACAAAAGCAGAAAAATCCACAAAAATGCTGCCTCGAAACTTTAAACAAGACTTGGCCAAAACTTTTTAAAGATGCCCTTATCAAATCTCTCCGTAACCTCAAGGTCCCCGGAGACATAGATCAATGGTGGCGAACCTATGGCACGGGTGCCAGAGGTGGCACTCGGAGCTCTCTCTGTGGGCACAGGCACTGTCTCCCCAGCCCCGCCTCTTCCCACGGCCCCCTCTTCACCAGCAGCCCTCCCGGAGGAGAGTTGCCCCTGGGTGCGGCCCACACGAAGCAGCGGAGCCAAGGACATGGTAGCTGGGCAGCGGGGACAAGACTCCGCCCTTGCGCCCCGTTGCACGCAGATGATGCTGCGGGGCACGAGCGGAGGGCATGGCCGCCATGACGTTGCTGGGCTGCCTGGGTGATCTGTGGCGGCGGTGGGTGGCCCAGTGGGCAGGGCGGAGCGGGGACGGGGGTTGGGGGGGCAGTTTTTAGGCACTCGGTCTCTAAAAGGTTCGCCATCACTGACATAGATCTTCTCGGCTTTAAAACTAAAACACAAGGTTTGCTTTTTAGTTCAGGTAGTCCTCGACTTAACTGAGCCCAAAATTTATGTTGGTAACTGAGACATTTGACAAGTGAGTTTTGCCCCATTTTATCACCTTTCTTACCACAGTTGTTAAGTGAATCATTGTAGCTGTTAAGTTAGCCGTGGTGGCACAGTGGTCAGAATGCAGTACTGCAGGCTAACTCACTGCTCACTCCAGGAGTTCGATCCTCACCGGCTCAAGATTGACTCAGCCTTCCATCCTTCTGAGGTAAAATGAAGACCCAGATTGTTGGGGGCAACAGGCTGACTCTGTAAACCGCTTAGAGAGGGCTGTAAAGCACCGCAAAGTGGTATATAAGTCTAAGTGCTATTCAGTGCTGGAAAAATGAGAATATACCATCAGAGGAAGAAGTGATAAGAAAAATCCTGGACTGTGCTGAGATGGACAAATTAACAAAAGAGATAAAAGAAAAGGAAGACACAGAGTACTATATAACATGAAACAAGTGGTATAACTGGTTGGAGACTAGAAATAATAGAGAAGAATAAATATGGAAAGGTCAAAAGTGAAAATATGTGTATAATAATGTATAATAATAATCATATGAATTATTCTTAGTAAGAAGTAGAATAGGAAGGAAGAAAAATGTAAATAAGAAACAACGGGGCAACGAGGACAAATATTCTAAAGAAGAATAAGGGGGGAAATGTAAATAATAGAAGATTACCGTTACGTAATCACTATTAAAATAAAGGGGAGGAGTATATATTGTGTGTGTATGTGTGTTATGTTTTCCTTTGTTTTGTTTTGTTTTGCTGGTTAAAAATATTTTTTTTTTAAAAAAAAAAAGTCTAAGTGCTATTGCTGGTGCTAGTAACATGGTTGTTACGTGAAACTGGCTTCCCCAGTGACTTTGCTTGTCAGAAGACTGCAAAACCTGATCACGTGATCCCAGGACACTGCAACCCTCACAAATATGAACCAATTAACAAGCATCCAAATTCTGAGCATGTGACCACAGGGATGCTGCAACAGTTGTAGCTGTTAAAAAAAAACGGTGGTAAGTCATTTTTTTTTCCAGTACAATTGTAACTTTGGTACGGTCGCTAAATGAACTGTTGTAAGTTGAGGACATTCCTGCATCTCAAAGAGAAAAGGAAGAGATAGAAAACGTTATGTACAAATCTGGACAAATCAAGGCCCTTACCTAGAGAAGCCACATTCCTTGAATTCTCCAGCATGACCTCATCATGCAAAGCTTTTTGATGGGGTTCCAGTAAGGCCCACTCTTCTTCAGTGAAAAAAACAGCCACCTCCTGGAAGGACACAGGACTCTGAAAGAAGAGAACATTCCCAGTTAATGTAACATCCGGAATGTTCTGACAAGTTCTCTGTCTTAAGCTCAGAGGATCTTCATCCCACTTTGCATCTTAAGAAGACAGAACTCTTGGAATAATTCTTCCAACAGGAATCCTTTATTAAGAGAAAATGGTTGCAGGCGTTCTAGACAGGACTTGGGTCCAAGCTCTCCCATTCGAGGTTTTAAGGGGTTCCCCAGTAGTCCCACCCAATCACCCCCCTCTTCCAGTGACAGTTTCAGGCATCACAATCCCACCCCTTTTTTCCTTTCTGCCGGCTGGATGGAGACTTCAGAGAAAACTACATGAAAGGTAAATAGCCTCCTTTGTTATGATAAGGCCTTTTGGTGCTATCTACATTCAAACCCTTTGAAGTTGTACCGAAGGAAGTGAGGGCCATAAATCCCCTTTGTTCACCCCCTTCTCTTTCTTTATGACAGAATCCAGAGAGGGCAGAACTGGGGTCTTCTATAATTGATAACTGGGGATGAAGTATAATTGGATTCTGACAGGTAGGCAACCTTGGCTCTTTTGTGACTTGTAGACTTCATAGCTGGTTCAGGAATTCTGGGAGTTGAAGTCCATGAGTCACAAAAGAGCCAAGGTTGCCTACCCCTGATCTAACACAACATAGGTGCACACTTCAAATCCACAAATACACTAAGGCAGAAGCTTGTCCACCCTAAGGATAAAACACCCAGACACAAACTGAGCAATGTGGTATATGCAGTACAATGCCGTGAGCTATGTGCAGATCTGTACCTTGGGAAAACAAAACAACTGCTTCATAAACACATGGCACAACATAGGAGAACAAATCCATCAGGACAAGATTCGGCAGTCCATTTGCATTTGAAAGACAAAGGCCACCCTTTCGAAGACAGCAAAGTCCACATTTTGGATAGAGAGGACCTCTGGTTTGAAAGAGGGGTCAAAGAGGCTATCTGTGTCAAAATTGAACAGCCCTCTCTCAACAGAGGGGAAGGGATACCACATCATCTATCTCCAGTCTACAACACAGTCCTTTCAGCAGTTCCAAGAAGGCTCCGCATCCATTTGCACTACTCAGGTGACCCTGAGGACACAGATAAAACTCTAGTTGGCCTCATTGCCTTTCTAAAGTGATGCAAATGACCAGCTGTCTGCAAGGAGTATAAATCCTTCCATTCCCCACCATCCAGTCAGAGCTGAAGAAGCTTCTTGGGGGAGAAGCGAAAGGTCTTGAAAGAAGAACAAAAAAGTCCACTTGCCTCGTGAAAAAGCCTCTTTGGGTTCTCTATCTCTTAAGTCATTTAAAAAAATGGGCATTTTACTTGACCCTTCAAACTATATCCAAGAAAATGGATAGACCACAGACCGATCATGTATTGTGGGCCAAAGGTTTAGAACAGGGGTGTCAAACTCAATTTCACTGAGGGCCGCATCAGCATTGCGGTTGCCCTTGGGGGCCGGGTGGGTGTGGCCAGAGTGGGTGCAGCCTACTGGGTGGGCCTGGATGGAGTGGGTGTGGCCTACCGGGTAGGCGTGGCCAGTTCTACATCATTCACGTCAAGAGTGCCTGTGCGGGCCGGGCAGGAGTGGGACAGATCTGAGGGTCTCTGGCAGAAGGGGGTGGGACTGGGGCAAGTGACAAGGCATGGTCCACCAGGGCAAGTGCCAAGATGGCCACCACAAAATTGTACATTGGTTCCTGGCTGGCCTGGGCCAGGGCCAAGGCAGCGGGGGCCGTTCCCTTACTGTTTCCAGGACGGCTTCGCGGGCCGCATCCGGCCCCCGGGCCTTGTGTTTGACATGTATGGTTTAGAATGTGAATGATTCAATGAGAACATCGGTCATCCCTCTCACTTAAGTTAGCTAGAAAACTAAGACTCCTGGCTCACGTCACAATCGCATTGGAACCCAGTTCAGAGGAGGAGGAACTGGGACCGTCTGACAGGGATGGCACATCTCCCTTGGCATGTTTGGAGAAGCCAGGGGCTGAGGATGATATTGTCTCAGGCCCCCCTGGCAATCGGGGAGATGGTCGACCAGATGTCTATTGGCGGGATGACTTGATCCTTCCCCACTGAGTGCTTTTAAAACAGTCCTGTTTTCCTCTGGGCCCGAGACCACTGGTGTCACTCAAGGATAATGCTGCCCTTATGATGTTCTATACACCGAAGGAGATGCTAGCAGCTGGCAGATCTCACTGGGGGAAATGGTACAATCTGGACGTTTTTAGCATTTTTAATTTTAAAATATATTTTTTAGTATTTTTTAATTGCAGTATGTATATTTTTAATTGGAAGCAGCTCAGAGCCCTTGACTGAGATGGGCGTCTATAGAAATTGAATAAATAAAATAAAAATAAAAAAAATAAAGTAAAATAAAATAAAATAAAAATAAATAAAAATAAAATAAAGTAAAGTAAAATAAAATAATAAAATAAATAAAACAAAATAATAAAATAAAATAAAGTAAAATAAAAAAATAAAGTAAAATAAAATAAATAAAATAAAAATAAAATAAAGTAAAATGAAGTAAAGTAAAGTAAAATAAAGTAAAGTAAAATAAAGTAAAGATCTCACTGGGGGAAATGGTACAATCTGGATGTTTTTAGCATTTTTAATTTTAAAATATTTTTTTAGTATTTTTTAATTGCAGTATGTATATTTTTAATTGGAAGCAGCTCAGAGCCCTTGACTGAGATGGGTGTCTATAGAAATTGAATAAATAAAATAAAAAAATAAAATAAAGTAAAATAAAATAAAATAAAAATAAATAAAAATAAAATAAAGTAAAATAAAATAATAAAATAAATAAAACAAAATAATAAAATAAAGTAAAATAAAAAATAAAGTAAAGTAAAATAAATAAAATAAAAATAAAATAAAGTAAAATAAAGTAAAATAAAAAAATAAAGTATAATAAATAAAATAAAATAAAATAAAAAAATAAAATAAAGTAAAATAAAATAAAATAAAAATAAATAAAAATAAAATAAAGTAAAGTAAAATAAAATAATAAAATAAATAAAACAAAATAATAAAATAAAATAAAGTAAAATAAAAAAATAAAGTAAAATAAAATAAATAAAATAAAAATAAAATAAAGTAAAATAAAGTAAAGTAAAATAAAGTAAAGTAAAGTAAAGTAAAATAAAATAAAATAAAATAATAAAATAAATAAAAATGGCTTCAACAATCTTTTAGGAAAGCTTCTTCTGCTTTGAGGCACTGACTGGATGGCAATGAAGAAAGAGAAGACTTGGGAGCAAATTACCCCATTGTAAAATAGATGGATTGGTTGACAATACCAAGCAGATACCAGACTGTTTTGAAGTGATCTTGGAATTCCTAAGCAGCTTGATCATTTTCCTCACTGTGAAAAATACCAGAAGTTTGGAAAACGAATGATACTGTTGGGTCTAGTGGTGAAGACACCAGGCTAGGAACTGGGGGACTGTGAGTTCCAGTCCCTCCTTAGGCCTGAAAGCCAGCTGGGTGGCCTTGAACCAGTCATTTTCTCTTAGCCCAAAACACCTCACAGGGTTGTTGGGGGGGGGAAATAGGAGGAGGAAGGTGTGTTGGATATTGCTTTTCTTTCTTTCTTTCTTTCTTTCTTTCTTTCTTTCTTTCTTTCTTTCTTTCTTTCTTTCTTTCTTTTCCTTCCTTCCTTCCTTCCTTCCTTCCTTCCTTCCTTCCTTCCTTCCTTCCTTCTTAATTTATTAGCTGCCCATCTTCCACATGGTAACTCTGGGTGGCTTACAATATGCTCGCACCCTTGAGTTATTTGTAAGAATAATAAAGACAATATATAATAATAATAATAATTTATTTATTTATGAGACTTATATACCACTTTAAGTGCAAGCACTCTCTAAGCCAGTGGTTCTCAACCTGTGGGTCGGGACCCCATTTGGGGTCGAACGACCATTTCACGGGGGTCGCCAAACAAGGCTGTCTGCCATTTTTCCCCCTTTTCTTTGGCCACGCCCCTGGCACCCGGTGATGTGTAAGTGGTTGGGGGGTCACCACAACATGGGGAACTGTATTATAGGGTCGCAGCATTAGAAAGGTTGAGAACCACTGCTCTAAGCGGTGTACACCAGTAAGCAATGTATATATATATTTACATTGCCCCCAACAATCTGGGTCCTCATTTTACCTCCCTCGGAAGGATGGAAGGCTGAGTCAACCTTGAGCCGGTGAGATTTGAACCGCTGACCTGCTGAACACAGTCAGCTAAAGTGGCCTGCAGTACTGCACTCTAACTGCTGGGCCACCTCAGCTCTTATAATCCCTTTATTATCAAAGTATAACATGATACAGTGAAATTGACTGAGCCTCCCTCTGTGCCACATATATAAATAAATACATAAATAAAATGTGGCCTTTTATTTACAATTATGGCCTCATGCTTTCTCATCACACTGCTGTCTCTGGAAGGGGTTTCAAAAATTATGCGAGAGGCATAAACAAAAAAAAAAGAACAAGTCCTAATCTACTGAATAAAAATAGAAATGGTTAGTAGGGAATGTGATAGATGGATACAGTAGTTACAAAATGAGAGGTCTGTCCAATATTCTCTGCATCTTTTCTAACGTTCTGCACTTACCAGAGCTACAGGCACAGATGTTGGTTTTGCTTTATCAAAGGGAGATGATCCCGCAAACACAAGTGACGTTGTTTTGTTCCCTGTCAGAAAGGCAAAATTAGTGGAAGCAGGCTTTTCGAAAGGATCCTTAAGAACATTCAGGAAGGAGGAGGAGGAACAGGAGGAGCAGGAGGAAGAGGAGGAGGAAGAGTCAGATGAAGAAGAAGGAGAGGAAGAAGAAGGAGAAGGAAAGGAAGAAGAAGAGGAGGAGGAGGAGGTGGAGGAGAAGAGGGAGAAGGAAAGGAAGAGAAAGACGGAGAAGGGGAAGAGTCGGAGGAAGAAGAAGGAGAGGGAGAGGAAGAAGGAGGAGATGAAGAAGGAGGAGGAGGAGGAGGAGGAGGAAGAGGAGGGGGAGAAGAGGAAGAGGGAGAAGGGGAAGAGTCGGAGGAAGAGTCAGAGGAAGGAAGAAAGAGAGGGAGAGGGAGAAGGAGAAGAGGGAGAAGAAGAAGAAGAAGAAGAAGAAGAAGAAGAAGAAGAAGAAGAAGAAGAAGAAGAAGAAGAAGAAGAAGAAGAAGAAGAAGAAGAAGAAGAAGAAGAAGAAGGAGAGGAGGAGGAGGGGGAGAAGAGGAAGAAGGGGAAGAGTCGGAGGAAGAGTCAGAGGAAGGAAGAAAGAGAGGGAGAGGGAGAAGGAGAAGAGGGAGAAGAAGAAGAAGAAGAAGAAGAAGAAGAAGAAGAAGAAGAAGAAGAAGAAGAAGAAGAAGAAGAAGAAGAAGAAGAAGAGGAGGAAGAAGGAGAGGGAGAAGGAGAAAGAGAAAGAAGGAGAAGAAGAAGAAGGAGGAGGAGGAGGAGGAGGAGGAGGAGGAGGAGGAGAAGAAGAAGAAGAAGAAGGAGGAGGAGGAGGAGGAGGAGAAGGAGAAGAAGAAGAAGAAGAGGAGGAGGAAGAGGAGGAGGAGGAAGGAAGGAGAGGGAGAAGGAGAAAGAGAAAGAGAAGGAGAAGAAGAAGAAGAAGGAGGAGGAGGAGGAGGAGGAGGAGGAGGAGAAGGAGAAGAAGAAGAAGAAGAGGAGGAGGAAGAGGAGGAGGAGGAAGGAAGGAGAGGGAGAAGGAGAAAGAGAAAGAGAAGGAGAAGAAGAAGAAGAGGAGGAGAATTATATTATTATTATTATTATTATTATTATTATTATTATTATTATTATTATTATCGGAATCTCTCAAAGGAATTTACAGGTTTTGGAAAGAATCTTACCGTACCTGTTAAGAGGTTCTGACTTGGATCTTCTCTGGAAATTTCATTGAAGATCAGCTCCTGAGATGGACGTCCTCTTGTCTCCAGCCTTTCAGAGATCACTCCCCCAAAGGATCCCTGGGCAAGAAATACCATACATGAAGAGGAGTTAAGGATATTCCCATTAGCAGATTCTTAACCCCTTGCTTCCAACTTCACAGGCCCACATTTTCATCGGTGGGAGAGACAAAAAAGGGGTACCATAATAGCTTGCTCCAATATGGCCTCTGAATGTGAGAATGGATTAATTTGCCTTACAGATATTGCCATCAAGCTACTAATTCCAGAAAGCTCAATTAGCAAACTATCTAAATCAGTGGTTCTCAACCTTTTTAATGCCGCGACCCCCAACCAGTCGTAAGTGAAGGACTAAACCACTCGTAAGTCGAGGACTAAACCGGTCGTAAGTCGAGGACTACCCAACTGGTCATAAGTCAAGGACTTTCCCTGCCCGGGAGCACCGCGCATGTGTGGTGCCGCCCTCTGCGCCGGCTGAGGCGTAGCTGGCAAGTGGCAGAGACAGAGCAGGCCGACTACCGGCTGGGCCACCAGCTGGCCCAGCCCAAGGGAAGTAAGGCACCCACCAGAAAAGGGGAAAAAATGGCGGACAGCCTTGCTTGGCGACCCCCGTGAAATGGTCGATCGACCCCAAGTGGGGTCCCGACCCATAGGTTGAGAACCGCTGATCTAAATGTTGAAGAATAGTGTTACTCTACCATCTGGAGCTGTCAGGATAGAATCTTCTCACCTGCAATGTCTCCTGTTTTGTTTCCTCTCCTTGGTTCAGGAGGAAGCCCTCTGCCAAGGCCACCGCTTGGGAAGTGGTCTCTGGTTCACAGTCCTGGACCCAGCTCTTCATCTCCAGGGGCAGGACGGCCAGGAACTGCTCCAGGATCACAAGGTCCAGCATCTCAGCTTTGGTGATCCTTTCCGGTTTCAGCCACCGAGCACAAAGGTGGTGGAGCTGGCTGCAAAGCTCTCGGGGTCCCTTGGCTTCCTCATAGCGGAAGTCCCTGAAACAGTGGCACTGACCATGCCAAGTGACCACTTCTTCCTCTAAGCTCTTCAGTCTAGTTTTGTCTCCGGGGGTCTCAGGGCAAGCGCCACGAGGAACTTCTCGTTGTCCTTCCTCTGCTGGGTATTCTTCATGCATTTTCTCTGTGTTTATTAACACACACACACAAAAAAGAAACAGAAACAAAACAGGATCGACTTTTTCCTGATCTCCAAAGTTATTGTCCTCGATAGGACCACAACTGCATAAACTCTGAAAAAAAATCTCAAAAGGTGCTGTCCAGCTACAAAGATTGCTTGCGCTAGGACAGCCGTGCCACTTCTAGCTTGCCAACTGTTCCGAGCGGGGAGGGGAATGTATGGAATGCACTGGCGGTTTCTCTCTGTTGGGAAGCAAGGTTGTAGAAGAGATGTTATGGCGAGCAGAGATCTTTTTCTCATAACAACGGCCTGAAGATTAAGGGGAGGGAAGGTTTAACTCTTTTGAACTATGTTTCTGGCGCCATATTGCCAGAGCTGGTTTTCCATTCATTAGTGCCGGTATGTGTGCTCAATAAAGTTTTGCATTAGAGATCGTGATGCCTGAGGTGTGCTTACTTCGTTGGGATTATCAGCCGGAACTATGACAGGTGCTTTTTCAGCAGGCAACTGGACTTTATTGTTTTTCTTTGGAGACGTTTCACTTCTCATCCAAGAAGCTTCTTCAGCTCTGACTGGATGGGGGGGGGGGGAATGGAAGGACTCTGAAAGAAGACAACATTCCGGGTGAACGTAACACCCGGAATGTTCAGGCAGATTCTCTGTCTTAAGTCACCTTATCTTAAAAAGGATGGGGATTTTACATAATAATAATAATAATGATGATGATGATGATGATGATGATAAAGTTGGAAGGGACCTTGGAGGTCATCTAGTCCAACCCCCTGCTCAGGCAGGAAACCTTATACCATTTTGGACAAATGGCTGTCCAGTCTCTTCTTAAAAACTTCCAGTGTTGGAGCATTCACCGCTTCTGGAGGCAGGTTGTTCCACTGGTTAATTGTTTAACTGTCAGGAAGTTTCTCCTTTAATAATAATATTAATAATAATAATAATAATAATAATAAAGTTGGAAGGGACCTTAGAGGTCATCTAGTCCAACCCCCTGCTCAGGCAGGAAACCTTATACCATTTCGGACAAATGGCTGTCCAGTCTCTTCTTAAAAACTTCCAGTGTTGGAGCATTCACCGCTTCTGGAGGCAGGTTGTTCCACTGGTTAATTGTTCTAACTGTCAGGAAGTTTCTCCTTAGTTCCAGGTTGCTTCTCTCCTTGATTAGTTTCCATCCGTTGCTTCTTGTCCTGCCTTCAGGTGCTTTGGAGAATAGCTTGACTCCCTGTTCTTTGGGGCAGCCCCTGAGATATTGGAACACTGCTATCATGTCCCCCCTCGTCCTTCTCTTCATTAAATTAGACATACCCAATTCCAGCAGCCTTTCCTTATATGTTTTAGCCTCCAGTCCCCTAGTCATCTTTGTGGCTCTTCTCTGTACTCTTTCTAGAGTCTCAACATCATTTTTACATCATGGTGACCAAAACTGGATGCAGTATTCCAAGTGTGGCCTTACCAAGGCATTTTAAAGTGGTATTAATACATAATAATTAATAGTTCTAGGTTGCTTGTTCTAGGTTTTCTTGGTTGTCCAAGAAAATGGATAGACTCCAGACCAACCACGCATTGTGGGCCAAAGAAGCTTTTTGGATGAGAAGCAAAATGTCTTCAAAGAAAAAAAAAAAAGCACCTTTGGGACAACCAGGACCAGGATGACTGAGAATCTCCATAGACACTCTGAAAAAAATATCACTCCTCCTTTTTTATGATACTTTTGCAGATACAACCTCAGGGAAGCAAGATAAGATGCTTCCAGATACTGATCAGTGGAGTGACTTGCCTCCAGAAGTTGTGGGTGCTCCATCATTCAATAGTAGTAACTGTGAGAGGGACCTCGGAGTCCTAGTGGACATCACTTAAATATGAGCCAGCCGTGTGCTGCAGCTGCCAAAAAGGCCAACGCAGTGCTAGGCTGCATTAACAGAGGGATAGAATCAAGATCACGTACAGTGTTAATACCACTCTTCAATGCCTTGGTAAGGCCACACTTGGAATACTGCATCCAGTTTTGGTCACCACAATGTAAAAAAAATGTTGAGACTCTAGAAAGAGTACAGAGAAGAGCAACAAAGATGATTAGGGGACTGGAGGCTAAAGCATATAAGGAATGGTTGCTGGAGTTGGGTATGTCTAGTTTAACGAAGAGAAGGACGAGGGGGGACATGATAGCAGTATTCCAATATCTCAGGGGCTGCCACAAAGAAGAGGGAGTCAAGCTATTCTCCAAAGCACCTGAAGGCAGAACAAGAAGCAACGGGTGGAAACTAACCAAAGAGAGAAGCAACCTAGAACTAAGGAGAAACTTCCTGACAGTGAGAACAATTAACCAGTGGAACAACCTGCCTCCAGAAGTGGTGAATGCTCCAACCCTGGAAGTTTTTAAGAAGAGACTGGACAGTCATTTGTCTGAAATGGTATAGGGTTTCCTGCCTGAGCCGGGAGTTGGACTAGATTACCTCCAAGGTCCCTTCCAACTTTATCATCATCATCATCATCATCATCATCATCTCTATTTCTCTGCTGGAAGAGGAATGCAGAGAGGCTTCAATGAGAGAAGGTCCAGGATTTAATCCAGTTGTAGCTCCTTCACCCAGGGACTTGTCACTCTAGCTCAGTGGTTCTCAACCTGTGGGTCGGGACCCCATTTGGGGTCAAACAACCATTTCACGGGGGTCGCCAAACAACGCAGTCCGCCATTTTCCCCCCCTTTTCCTTAGCTGTGCTACTCCCTTTTACTCTATTGGCTTTTGAAAGCCAATAGAATAGACTCTCTTGAATAGAGTCTAATTCTATTGGCTTTCAAAAGCCAATAGAAATTGTCCAGGCTGTCTTTGCCCTGCTGAGCCCGCCAAAAATCCCATTCTGCAAATGATGCTGCACCAGTTGAGTAGTCCTCGACTTACGACCAGTTGGGGGTCGCGGCATTTAAAAGGTTGAGAACCACTGCTCTAGCTCTAAGCAGCAAACTCTTGGATGTATTTCCATCCATGTCATGGAGAATCACCTCAGAAATGGAACACATGAGCAGAATGAGGAGTAAACCTCTGTCCATGGTTATGAAATGGAAGTCACAACTTCTAGCCTAGACTGGAAGCACCTCATCCAATAATGTAGTCCTCAATTTACAACAATCCATTTAGTGACCGTTCAAATTTACAACGGCACTGAAAAAAAGTGACTTATGGCCGTTTTTCACGCTGACGACCATTGTGGGATCCCCGTGGTTGTCGGTGTGAGAAACGGCCATAAGTCACTTTTTTTTTCAGTGCCGTTGTAACTTGGAGCAGCCACTAACCGAATGATTGTAAGTCGAAGATTACCTGTACTGTTGCTTTTCGATGATCTTCCAACTCGGGTGTTTAATGGAAAAAAGAAAGCGAGGCAAAGCCTTTGACCATCATGGTCATATCGATGTCCGGTTTATTCCCTAATCTAGATATGCCATCCAGAGGCAAGACTAATCCTAGTCGCAAAATCACAGGCAAGGAGCTGATAAAACATAGGAAGAACGGTTGCAGGATTTGGGTTTGGCTAGTCTAGAGAAAAGAAGGACTAGTTTTCAGTCAGGGCAGAAAACATCCTGCAGAAGCCAAGAAGGATCCACAGCCATTTGTGCAGATCAGGTGACCCTGAGGACACAGGTGTTGGAAGAAAAGTCTTCATCCTGGTCCAGTCCAAGCCGGGGATAAACAACATGGCTACTGCTTTAGAAAGAAGGTTGCAGTTTATTGAAGAGCCAAACAGGAAGATGGTTCTGGCAGGAAAGAGGAGAGAAAAAAAGGACTGAGCACATGTGGGGAGCGGGTTTTTATACCCTTTGGAGCCTTTTGTTTGTGGAGTTGTTCCTGTTCCTGTGGCGTGAACTTTAACCTGAGTGAGTGTGCCTTTCTAGTATTCTGATGGTGATGGGTCAATTTTATTATGTCCAAAGGTCATACCCTGCTTCCCTGGTGCTGGGGCTAATGACTCTTAAAGTTTGGTGGAGTATGCAGATTTTAGATGTCCTTGTCTTCCTAAGCTTCTAGCTTCAACTTTCCTGATGGTTTACATCAGGAGCAGAGCTGGCTTCTGCTTGGGGGAGGGAGACTTGGGGCTATCAAGAAAACTGGGCATGTTTTTCTGCCCTTTTAATATTTCCTTCTCTGGGGGGTTGACTTCCCACAATGGTAAGCCTCCAGGTGGCATCAACCCCTCTCTAAAAGAATACAAATGACCAGCTTCCTTCCATTTCCCACCATCCAGTCAGAACTGAAGAAGCTTCTTGGATGAGAAGCAAAACGTCTTCAAAGGAAAACAAGAAAATCCAGTTGCCTCTTGGGAAAAAAAAAAAGCACCTTTGGGACAACCCTGACCTGGATGACTTGAGAACCTCCATAGCCATCCATCCAGCTTCTCCAGCTGGGTCTCCATCGCGGGCTGGCAGCTGGCTTCTGCCTTGCAAACGGACCCCTCTGCCTCTCTTCCCGGCTCGGGGAACTGCCCTCCCTTGCATCTGCACGTCCGAATCGGGATCCCGACTCCTCTTTTGAGGGAGACGCTTAAAGCCATGCTGGGAGCTACTTGCAAAGCGCGAGCAAAGGCGAGGATGCTGGCCAGGTTTGCAATTCAGCCTCTCTACTGGGACCATCATTGTTTGCTCCTGCTCCCTCCCTCCCTCCCCACCATCTGGTCCTCCCTTTCTTTGCCTCTCTTCCCACGGATTCTTTCTTTCTTTCTTTCTTTCTTTCTTTCTTTCTTTCTTTCTTTCTTTCTTTCTTTCTTTTTTCCTTGGACTCGATCCGTTTTGCAAGGGAGCCGTCCTCGCATCTAGAAATGCACGGAAAGCAGTCGCGCACGGGGGAGGGGGGTGGGAGAGAAACCCCCGTCCACCTCCCCAACCCCCCCCCCCACCGCCCTTTAGCAAGACAGCTTTGCAATCTACAGGGAATTACCTTGCTTTCTCTCTCTCTCTCTCTCTCTCTCTCTCTCTCTCTCCGCGGCTCCCTTCTCTTTGCAGAGGAAAAGGGCACCACTCGGTGATCCTCCGTTCCTTGCAAGATCTTCTCGCAGTCTCCCCCCTCCTTTGCCTTTGGGGAAGTTGAGGGTAAAAAGAAAAAAGAACGGGAGGGCAATGAAGCCGAGGGGGGAAGATTCTAGCTGATGCACTCGCTAATACTTCCTCTCTTTCTCTGCTCTCTCCCCCCCACACCCTTTTTTTTTTTTAAAAAAAAAAGTGTGCATTCTGCAGCTAGAAGCACGGGTCTGCCAAGCCACCAGGCGCATGCGCGGCTTCCTATCGTGTTTTACCAGCCCGCAGTCCTGCAAGGGTTTTCACAGAGGGCGCCCCCTGCGGGAGAAAGGGGCAATGGAGGAGTTTTGCCGGGGTTGGTGGTGCAAAGATGATGGGAGGGAGAGAGAGAAAAAATAGCCTCCTAAGAGGAGAAAATCTTGAGATCCATCTCCATCGGTTTTTTTAGAACTGTGTTTCTCAACCTTGACAATTTCAAGGCATGTGGACTTCAACTCCCAGAATTCCACAGCCAGCAATGCTGGCTGTGGAATTCTGGGAGTTGAAGTCCACATGCCTTAAAATTGTCAAGGTTGAGAGACACTGTTCTAGAACTTGGCAACTTTCAGACGGGCGGACTTCAACTCCCAGCATCCCTTAGCTAAACTTGATGGTTGAGGGATGCTGGGAGTTGAAGTCCATACATCTTAAAGTGGCCAAGTTTGAGAAATAACAGGTCTAAGCTGCAAAATAGAATAAATAACAAGAGTTGGAAGACCTTGGAGGTCTTCTAGTCCAATTCCCTGCTCACGCAGGAAACCCTCTACAAATGGTTGTCTAAATAGATATTGTGCTTCTTCTTGCTAAATAACAGTAGCTTCCCAAAGTAGTTTGGAGAGAATTGGGGCTGTTGTGTCCTTGCAACAAAGCAGGTGCTGCTGTTGCTGCTTCAATGCACGCCCCCACCCGATCTCCCAAAACCTTTTACGGCCCCTTTGGACTTAGGGAGGGTCTCACATTATAGACAGCTCAAGATCCCCAGTAGTGACTCCACTTCCGACCCCCCCTTCTGGAGAATTTGTCTGTCTGAATGCAGCAAGCCCTGGCAAGACGTTATGGGCATGCTCAGTTCCATTCTGAAGCTAAGGAACTGCCAGTACTGCAATGCTGAAGCTTCCCACGCTGCCCCCTGGTGGAGTCTGTATGCGTTGCCTGGATAAGATAAAAACCTTTATTGTCATTTTTTTTTTTACCGCGGCACACATTGAAAATGAAATTCTGTTGCCTGCTCTCAGAAGTGTACACATACACAACACACTTCCTGTTTAGTGTTGAAACGCTTCCTTTATTGTCACACATGCTTTACATCCATCATATATTGCTTTCATACTTCTTGCATTTGTTAAATACTGTAAAGTCTACATCACAACGTTAAGCCTCCCTCCCCCCCCCTCGCCCTGGGAACATTCATGAGGCACGTGAGTTATTTTATTCAGTTTATTCTTCCAACAGAAGCTCTTCGCACACTTGGGAACTCTAAAATGTTGTGTTTCATTCAATTGTTAATATGTGAATTATTACAAGGGTACATAAAGCGATCAGTGGAACAGTCTTTGATCTCTAAAAGGTGAATCTCAAAACAGGAGTGTTTGCAGGAGGGTTTAAAAAAAAAAACACCAGGATGGCAGCTGTGCCTGTGATAGAAAGAGTGCAGAGAAGAGCAACCAAGATGATTAGGGAACTGGAGGCCAAAACGTATGAAGAACGGTTGCAGGAATTGGGTATGTCTAGTTTAATGAAAAGGACGAGTGACATGGTAGCAGTCTTCCAATATCTCAGTTGTTAATTGCGAAGTCGTGTCCGACCCATCGCCACCCCATGGACAACGTTCCTCCAGGTCTTCCTGTCCCCTACCATCTTCTGGAGCCAATATCTCAGGGGTTGCCCCAAAGAAGAAAGGGTCAAGCCATTCTCCAAAGCATCTGAGATCAGGACAAGAAGCAGCAGATGGAAACTCATCAAGGAGAGAAGCAACCTAGAACTAAGAGGAAATTTCCTGATAGTTAGAACAATTAATCAGTGGAACAACTTGGGTTCTGGAGGTTTTTAAACAGAGATTAGACAATGATTTATCTGAAGTGGTACAGGGTCTCCTGCCTGAGCAGGGGGTTGGACTAGACCTCCAAACTCCCTTTCCATGCTGTTATTCTATTATATGGTGCATTCGATGCACAGGCCAAGCGACAGGGCTTTGAGCATGTCTGCAATCCCCACCTTGACTTTTCTGACCCCCTGCCCAGATGTCCCAGCTCAAAGGACCCTTTTTCATTTCAGTTTCTGAACTCTTTCGAAGTTTATAATGCCCAAATCGTTTTACACTGATGGGATTCAAAAGGTGCATTTCTTCAAAAGCTCTTTTGCACCCCGAGGACTGAGAGGGTTTCTCTCTCTATGGATTCTCTGGTGAGAAGTGAGGTTTTTCTTACACAAATAGCTCTTTCGGCAGACAAAACAAGTGTACGGCTTCACCCCCCGGTGAATCTTTTTATGGGAGCTAAGGCTTGTGCTCTGGCTGAAGCTCTTTCCACACTCCAGGCATTTGTAGGGTTTCTCCCCTGTGTGGGTCCTTTCGTGGCAATTAAGGTAGGTTCTATTGCTGAAAGTCTTCTCGCACATAAAGCACCGGTACGGTTTCTCTCCTGTGTGAGTACGTTGGTGCAAAGTAAGGTGCGAACTCTGACTGAAGCTCCTTCCGCACTCAAAGCATTTGTATGGCTTCTCCCCAGTGTGGGTCCTTCGATGGGTCGTAAGGTGCGTCCTCTGCCGAAAGGATTTTCCACACTCAAAACACACGTACGGTTTTTCCCCCGTGTGAATTCTCTTATGAGAAACAAGACTGGCACTCGTGTTGAACGTCTTGGGACATTCCGAGCACAAGTATGGCTTCTCTCCCGAGTGGATTTTTTTATGCCGACTTAAGAGCGCGGTGTGGCTAAAGCTCTTTCCGCACTCCGAGCATTTGTACAGTTTTTCCCGAGTGTGAATTCTCCTATGTGAAATAAGGGACGTGTTCTTACCGAAACTCTTTCCACACTCCAAGCATCGGTATGGTCTTTCTTCCGTGTGTAATTGCTGATGTCGGGCCAGAGAGACACTCTGATTGAACTGCCTTCCACACTCTGAACATTTAAATAATTTCTCTTCTCCGTAAATTCTTTGATAAGGCAAAAGATCATCACCTGTCTGAAGAAAGTTCTTTCCATGCTCCAAGCAATTATCTGATGTCTCACTTGGATGGATTTCTTGACATGAAAGGAAGTTTGAGCTCTTGGTCCATGCTGAACATTGATAGAGTTTCTCCTCTGTATAAATTCTGTGGTGCAAGTTGAGTTTGAATTTAGAAATCAATGTCTTTCTACCTGAAGGATTTTTGTTCTTTTTCTTCTGTTTCTGGATTAGGTTTTGACAAGGATCTTCTGCCTGGAAGTCAGACAGATTCCTCCTAATCTCTGCCTTTTGCTCTTCCTGTCTCACTGATCCTTTGAGATCACCAGCAATCTCTTCCTGCTCTTCATCTTTGGGAATTCTTGATGGGATACAGTACAGCTCTTGAGCAGTGGAATCTTCCATCACCAAACCTGCTCGGACAGAAAGACAGAGAAAAGGCTAGATTACAAATCAAACGGAAAAGTGGAACAAATGTACTCCATTAGTCATTCTTGTAAATTGTCAGGGAATTGTGCAGCAGCTGTTCAAACAGAGTCAGAAACTGACACAAACATGTAGTTTTATACTGCATAAATAATATACTTAACATCAATATATACAGAAAACTAGATAGTCAGGCAAACAGGAGCATCACCACATCATGAGGTAAATCACAGAGGACACAGACCAAAAAGGCGGGAAAAAAGGGAAACTCCCCCTCCACCCACACAACCAATCATAGGGCAGATTGCCTCATGCAGGAGAGACCCAGCCCTCTCCAACCAATGAACCACTACTGTGTGTTCTGGCTCACTGCACAACCCCACTGCGCCAAATACTAAATGTAAATATTTAACTTAAATAAATATATTAATTTATTACATTAATATAATAAATTAATGTAAGCATGAATCTCTGCCCTATTTCTTTCTGGCTTCTGCTACGGTGAAAGTTTGAGAAACCTTGTGGACCACAATGTAGCACTTAGACCTAGACTTATATACTGCTTCACAATGTTTCACAGCCCTCTCTTAGCGGTTTACAGAGTTAGCCTCTTGCCCCCAACCATCTGGGTCCTTGTTTTACTGACCTCAGAAGGATGGAAGGCTGAGTCAACCTTGAACCAGTCAGGATCAAACTCCTGGAAGTGGGCAGAATTAGCCTGCAATACTGCATTCTAACCACTGTGCCACCACGGCTCTGATACCACCACATCATGCACCACAACACTATGGCACCACCTGTGATATATTCTATTCTTTTACAATCAGTGGTTCCTCTTTCCATTTGTTTTTTTGGAGCCAAAACCAGTCTAAGCATTGAAAAATGGAACATCTTTGGAAGGGGTGTTGGAATTCTTGCCGTATAACTTTTTGCCCAGGACAGGAATTCTCAGATCATCTGAGACAAAGAGCTGTCCAATATTTTCTTGATAACCTCTAGTGATGGAGATCCTTTAAGAGGCAAGTTGTCCACTGTTTAATAGCTTTCCACAATTATGACATTCCTTATTTCCAGTCTGTTTGGTTCTTGTCTTACCCTCAGGTACTATTAATCCATACCCTCTTTTCTGTGATAGCTCTTAAATTTTAGAAGACTGCTATCAGGTCTCTACTTAGCTCTCTCTTCTTGAGGCTAAACTGTTCTTTGTAGGACATTCTCCATCTTTATTTCTCTTGCCTGTACTATTTCCTGTTCCTCATACAGCCAAACCTCCCTTTACGACCACAATAGGGATTGGAAAATTTGTCACGGTTGTTAAGTGAGGCATCAATTTTAATGACCTTTTTTCCAGTCATTAAGCAAGTCACTGGCAGTCATTAAGTGAGACACCACCTGACCATGGCTTGTGATCTTTCCTGCTGGCTTTCCCATTAACTTTGCTTGTCGGAAACAATGAATAGTTGCGGGAATTGGGTATGTCTAGTTTAATGAAAAAGGACGAGGGGTGACATGATAGCAGTCTTC